CTAAGGGGCGCCTGGGTGGCTCTGTCGGTTAAGCCTCTGCCTTCAGCTCAGGTCATGATCCCAGGGTCCTGGGATTGAGTCCCACATCAGGTTCCTTGCTCAGTGGGGAGCCTGTTTCTTCCCCTGCCATGCTCCTCCTCCTGCTTGTGTGTGCCCGCTCTGACAAATAAAAAAAAATAAAAAAAAAAAAAAAAAGAAAAGAAATGGCCTCTAAGTGTTCACGTGAAAGAGTTACATGTCTCTCACTTTGAATCAAAAGCTATAATTGATTAAGTTTAGTGAGGAAGGCATGTTGAAAGCAGGGATAGGCTGAAACCTAGGCCTCTTGCACCAAAGTCAGCCAGGTTGTGAATGCAAAGGAAAAGTTCTTGAAAGAAATTAACAGTGCTACTCCTACTCCAGTGAACACATGAATGATTCAAAAGTAAAACAGTCTTCTTGCTGATACGGAGAAAGTTTTAGCAGTCTGGATAGAAGATCAAACCAGCCACGACATTCCCTTAAGCCAAAGCCTAATCCAGAGCAAGGTCCTAACTCTCTTTAATTCTGTGAAGGCTGAGAGAGGTGAGGAAGCCGCAGAAGACAAGTCTGAAGCCAGCACAGGTTGGTTCAGGAGGTGTAAGGGAAGAAGCCGTCTCCATAACATAAAAGTGCAAGGTGAAGCAGCAAGTTATAACAGATAACAATGAAGCAGATAATAATGAAGGTGGATACACCAAACAACAGATTTTCAATGTAGATGAAATAGCCTTCTATTAGGAGAAGATGCCATGTCAGACTTTCATAGCTAGAGAGGAGAAGTCAGTGCCTGGCCTCAAAGCTTCAAAGGACAGGTTGGCTCTCCTATTAGGAGCTAATGCAGCTGGTGACTTGAAGTTGAAGTCAATGCTCATTTAGCATTCCAAAAATCCTAGGGCCCTTCAGAATTATGGTAAAGCCACTTTGCCTGGTTCTATAAATGGAACAACAGAGTCTGGATGATAGCGCATCTTTTTACAACATGGTTTACTGAATATTTTAAACCCACTGTTGCGACCAACTACTCAGAAAAAAAAATACTTCTTTTAGAATACTACTGCTCACTGACAATGCACCTGGTCACCCAAGAGCTGTGATGCAGAAGTACAATGAAATGAATGTTGTCTTCATGCCTGCCAGCACAACAGCCATTCTGCAGCCCATGGATCAAGGAATCATTTTGAGTTTCAAGTCTTGTTTAAGAAAATACATTTCATAAAGCCATAGCTGCCTTAGATAGAGATTCCTCTGATAGATCTGGGCAAAGTAAATTGAAAGCCTTCTAGAAAGGATTCACCATTCTAGATGCCATTAAGAACCTTTCTGATTCATGGTCAAAATACCAAAATTAATAGGAGTTTGGAAGAAGTGGTCCAACCCTCATGGAGGACTTTGAGGGGTTCCAGACTTGAGTGAAGGAAGTAACTGCAGATGTGGTGGAAACAGCAAGAGAACTAGAAGTGGAGCCTGAAGATGGGACTGAACTGCAGCAATCTCAGAATAAAACTTTGACAGATAAGGATTTGCTTCTTATGGGTGAGCAAAGAAGGTGGTTTCTTGAGATGGAAACTGCTCCTGGTGAAGATGCTGTGCAGACTGCTGAAATGATAACAAAGGATTTAGAATATGACATAAGCTTAGTTGACAGAGCAGCAGCAGGGTTTGAGAAGATCGGCTCCAATTCTGAAAGGAGTTCTACTGTGGAGAAAATGTTATCAAACGGCATCACATGCTGCAGAGAAGTTGTTGGTAAAAGGAAGAGTCCATCAATGCAACGGAAGTTCACTGCTGTCTTATTTTAAGAAATTGCCACAGCCACCCCAAGCTTCAGCAATTACCACCCAGATCTGTCAGCAGCCAGCATCATCAAGGCAAGACCCACCACCCGCAAAAAGATTATGACTCGCTGAAAACTCAGATGGTGGTTAGCATTTCTTAGCCATAGAATATTTCTTTTTTTTTTTTTTAAAGATTTTATTTATTTATTTGACAGAGAGAAAGATAGCGAGAGAGGGAACACAAGCAGGGGGAGTGGGAGAGGGAGAAGCAGGCTTCCTGCCGAGCTGGGAGCCCGATGTGGGGCTCGATCCCAGGACGCTGGGATCATGACCCAAGCCGAAGGCAGATGCTTAACTGAGTGACTCAGGCGCCCCAGCCATAGAGTATTTCTTAATTAAGAAATAATTTTTTAAATTATTTATTAAAATCTATTAAATTAAATAATTTCTTAATTTCTTAACGTTAATTAATGAATGTTGTCTTCTGTTTTTTTTTTAAACATAACGCTATGGCACACTTGACAGACTACAGTGTAGTGTAAACCTAACTTATATATACACTGGGAACCAAAACATGCATTTGATTCACCATGTTGTGATACTCATTTTATTATATGGTTTAGTAATTAACCTGCAATATCTCCAAGGTATCTGTCAACACACAAAAAGTTGTTCAATGTCACTAGTCACTATGGGAATGCAAATTAAATCTACCATGAGATGCCCCTAGACACCCATTCGAATAGTTAAACTTAAGAAGACTGACAATACCAAGTGTTGGTAAGGACATGGAACAACTGGACCCTCCATACACTGTTTGTGGGAATGCCAATTTGAAAACCAGCTGTGTAGTTTCTTATAAACGCAGATGTACCATATGACCCAGTGACAGTTCCTCTCTTGGGAATTTATCAAAGAAAAATGGAAACATACGTTCATACAAAGGCTTGTACACAAATGGTTATTATACCAGCATCATTCAGAGTAACCAAAAAAATGGAAATAACCCAAATGTTTTATCAAAAAGTGAATGGATAAGCTAATGTGGTTTACATAGACAAGTGAATACTATTCAGTAATGAAAAGGAATGAGTAATATGGATGAATTCAAAAGCATTATGCTAAGTGGAAAAGCCAAACACAAAAGACTACATATTATAGGATTTCATTTGTATGAAATTTTAGAAAAGGAAAACAATGGCAAGAGAAAGCAGATCAGAGGGTAGGCAGGGGCGACTGACTACAAAGGGGTACAAGGAAACTTCTGGGGTTAACTGGAATGTTCTACATCATCATTGTAGAGATGGTTACACAACTATATTCATTTATCAAAACACATCGGGGCACCTGGGTAGCTCAGTTGGTTAAGCGTCCAACTCTTGATTCTGGCTCAGGTCATGACCTCAGGATTGTGAGACTGAGCCCTGCATCAGACTCCATGTTGGTCGCGGAGCCTGCTTCAGATTCTCTCTCTCCCTCTGCCCCTCCCCCTCCCTGCTTGAGTGCATGTGTGCACTCTCTCTCTCAAAAACAAGAACACATCAAATTGAACACTGAAAATTAATGATTTTATATAAATTATACCTCAATAAAACTGAGTTTTAAAAAGCATTTAATAAAGACTTTTAAAAGTATTATCCAATAGGCGTGCCTTGCTGGCTCAGTCAGTACAGCACAGGACTCTTGATTTCTGGGTCATGAGTTTAAGCCTCATATTGGGTGTGGACCCTACTTAGAATTTTTTTAAAAATATACTATCCAATATATAAGGTATATATGTACATGCAACATGCAACAAATTGCAGAGTTACCATTGTATTTCTCAGTAGCCAGTCTTTGGAATTTGATAAATTTAGTTTTGTAGCTGCATTGCAAAAATCATTTCACATATGATACAAAGAAACCTCTATCAGTTTGTAACAACATTTACCATTAGTACAAACAGATGGAGCAAACAAAACACAGGGTGGCCCCCTATGTCTAAGGAAGCCAAATTGCCTTAATGTCATCATTCAGCAAAGATTCACAATATTAACAGAGGAGAACTAGCTGTGGGCTAGGCATCCCCCCAGTCCACCATCTGGAATATTCTTCATTCAAAGCTGAAGAAGACATCTTATCTTCTGCAACTAATACAAGCCCTAACAGTGCCAAATAAAGCAAAAATGATACAACCATTGCTGTAGTTTTAAAAATCACAAGGAACACAAAGAGGACCTTGCAAGTCACTCCACATTCAAGGATAAGGCTATAATCCATATAAGTGGAGAAATGAATCATCGCAATGTACAACTATGGGATGCTGCCATCCTAATAGAATGTGTAAGGGATTCACCAAAAATTCATACCTTTTAAATATATTTGACCTATTTGTTCATGATGTTTTTCCTTACCAGAATGATGACATTCCGCAATGATAAGGATTTATGTCTTTGCTGTTTACTGCTACATCCTTAGCATCTAGAACAATGCCTAGCACATAGTAATTGCTCAATAAATATCTGTTAAGTGAATAAATTATACCTATGTTGAATTTATTATGTCTATATAGATATTATTCACAGGTAAATGATGTAATACTCTTCCCTTCCATTTCTTTCTTTTATAATTCTTTGACTGGAAGTTGTCTTGTTTTTTCATTTTGTTTCTAAATACCAATGCAAACCTAAACTTCCAAGCAAAATGACTTATTTTCTCCTTTATTTACTTCTTCATTTCAAAAATTTCCTACAATATGTGTGGGTACATGTTCATAATAAAGAACAAATACACCTTTATAAAATTAGTTTTATAGAGGGCTATGTAAGTTAATAGCATGCTTCAAGTTTTCTTCTAGCTACTTCCTCAAATCTGTCCCTCTGCTTATGTTTTTTACCCTCTCTGAAAAACCCTCCACACATTTCTCTATAAATTTAGCCTGTCTCAACCCAATTTCCCCAGTTAAGAATCCTTTATAATACTGGTTAATCTCAATCCTTTGATCCACTTTGACTCCTAAAACAGAACCATAAACCCCTTTCAGCCAGGCAATATTCAGTATATTTTTGTATTTCCCACTGCTATAGAACATTCGATCAATGCTTAATTTGTGGAACCTGATGAATTTCTGCAACCCTGAAGAAGCTTGAGGGTACAAAAATTAACGTAAAGCTACAAAGATAAAGAAATATATTTGCATACTAAACTATAGGCATAAAAACCTACCAGCAGTGTCTGTCCTTGGGAAATGAAGAAATGACCTGATATAACGATGGTGAGAACAAGATACCCAGATTCTTCACTAGAGTCAAAAACCTTGAAAAAGAAGAAAGTGAGGGAAATGTGGATAAGACAATACATTTCTGTAATACTAGTAGAAGTATAATATCTTCTCACATTGATCTTCCTACTCAGAATGTTCCCTTTCCTTCCATTTAATCTGTAATCATTCACTTAGTATATTACTAAAAGAAGTATTTTGAAATGAAAAGAATACTAGTTTAAAAATAAAGAGATGTGGGCCCCGAGCTAACCATTTTTCAGTAACATTTTAATAAGTCATTAATTATCTTTGAGCCTCAGTTTCCTTTCTGTAAAATGGGGATAATGCCTTACATGGTTGCTGTGAGACTTCAGAGTCCTAGTTTATTCAGTCATATAAATCCATTTTTACAACATCTCAAACCTGGTGCTTTCCTTTGGATGAGTTTTAATTTGTCAATGTCACTCTTAAAATATGGTGCCCCAAACTGACCATAATGTGCTGGGTGTGGTCTATCTCCCATTACTTGTAGTATAGCCTACAATCACATTAACCTTTGAGGGCGTAGTCTCATTTGAAGAATGATCTGATATCAGTAAAACCTCCTGAAACTTCATCACTTATGTTGGTAAATCATACTTTCACATTCGTTACCTGGACCTAAATGTAAGACCTTGCATTTATTCTCATTATATTTTATCTTGTTAGATTTGGCCTACAGTTTCAGAGGGGAGCTGAGGCAATGAAATCAAAATATCAAAGCACACGTGACGGATAGATATAGAAGAGTAGGATCTGGGTCTTTAGTGACTATCCTGTATATATAGGTGGCTTTGATACACTGAAATGTAAACATCCTTGTATAAAGAATAAAATGAAATTATGCATTCACCTCAATGCTCAAAGCTCAAAACAATGAATACATACCTAACTCAAGTATATCTTTTTTTTTTTTTTATTTGAGGGACAGAATGAGAAAGGGAGAGAGAGAGCCCGAGAGGGGGGAGGGTCAGAGGGAGAAGCAGACTCCCCGCCGAGCAGGGAGCCTGATGCGGGACTCGATCCCGGGACTCCAGGATCATGACCTGAGCCAAAGGCAGTCGCTTAACCAACTGAGCCACCCAGGCGCCCCTCAAGTATATCTTTATAAGGTCACTACATTCTTTTGATAAATGATGTTTTCATAGTTTCATATGTGGGGTTTACAGCTTTAATGCTATATTTAAACTTAAGATTTCCTACTGAGTTTTCTCCAATTCACTTTAAATTCCAACCTTAAAAAAAAAAAGGTATTTTAGATGTCAAGAAAGGTATGCTAAACTCTGCACTTCAGTGGTTATTACTCCACCTCTTTTCCAGCATTAGGAACTCAGTTATTTGTATGATATTCTTCCTGCCACAGTTTAAAGGCATTATCTTGAATGCTTCACGACCACTTAAAATCACAAGGATAGGTAGGAGTCAACCACAGCTTTCAAAACTAGAGCCTGGTCAACCAATTCTTTGAGAGGCAATATGTTAACATGACAGTTTATTTTTTTAGGAATGTACATATATCCCCAAAATATCCCAAAAAGTATCCAACACTTAAATGTACGACTCAATGAATGATGATAAAACAAACACATAATAATCACCACCCAGGTGAAGTAACAGAAAACCCTGCCAGCCTTCCAGAAGGTACTCTAGTGCTATCTCCCAGTCACTACCTGCTCTCTCCTTCCCCTAAGGTAGCCTGACTTCTAACACCACAGTTTAGCTTTATTCGTATGAATGGAATCATATAGAAAGAATTATTTTGTCTGGCTTCATCAGTGTTGTTGCACATACCTAAGTTCATTTGTTTTCAGTACTACAGAATACCATTATACGACGACACCACAATTTACTATTTCATTCTTTTGCTGATGAATAATGTTGTCCAGTTTAGGTTGACCACAAATAATGCTGTTATGAACATTTTTATATATGTCTTTTGTTGGCTAGAAACACTCATTATGGAGACACCAATTCTTTCCAAATTATAATTTTTTTCAAGTGGTAACTAATGACTTCCATGAGAATCCCTGCTCTCCTCTGCTCTCCAAAGTCTGCTCTCCAAACTGCTACATCTAATTGCCCACTCATGATCTCCACTTAAAGGCCCAATAGTCATTTCAAAATTAACAGCCCCTAACTTGAAGTCCAAACGTTCCCATTCATTCATTTATTCCTTCACTATTTACAAAGTCTCGAGCAAGTGACATCTGTTGCCTATCACTAGGAGTAGAAATCCAAACATTTCTGCCCACTGCATCTTGGTACTGGAGTCACTGTGGAAAACACAACACAGTCAAGCACTGAATGGAACAGCACTTCACTCAGATAAGGAAGAAAGAGAGTAAGATTAGCATCAGTAGTGACGGTCAGTTGCCCCTGCATGGGAGAGAGCAGGTCCCTCTTGGCAGCCACACAAAGCAGCTGGCCTGTGCTCCCCGCTCTTGTGCTGCAGCAGAAGGACCCCATTCCCTCCCCCAATGGGACAGACACAGCAGTGGGGCTGGCCAGGTGCCATATGATACATAAGCAGAACAAAGGAGCACAGGCTCTGAGGACTCTATCTCTCGGTAAAGGAAGTGTTCTGGGATTCAGGCCCATTCTTATGGTCATGGCCAAAAGGGGCTGAAAGACTGCATGAACAAGACTGCCTTTCCCAATACAAAGTGCCTACCACATGCCAGGCTGTTGTAGGCATTTGACTCCCACAGTTTCCACATCAGAGAACATACTTCCGTCTTTCCATTTCCTTAGGCCAGCTGTGGAATCATTGAACCCTCTCCTTTCCTCATACCCATATCCAATCCATTAGCACATCCTTCATGTCTACCTTCAAAATACTCAGAATCTAACCATTTCTCACAGGTATGATCGAAGTTATCATCTCTGCTTGGATTATCATGATAACCTCCTCACTGGCTTTCCCTTTGTGTTCTTGCTCCCCTCCCCACACAGTTCATTCTCAATATAGTAGCTAGAGTGATCTTTTAAACCTAAGTTAGATCATGTCATTTCCAGCTCAAAGCCCAGCAGCTCAATCAGAAACTCATGCAAAGTATTCCACGACTCAGCCTCCATTGCCCCTCTGCTCTCATTACCCCCTTGTGTACTCTGCTCCATCCACATGGCCTCCTTGCTGCTCCTTGAACCCACGAGGCAAATTCATGACAAACCTCAGGGCTTTTATTAATCCTGTTTTATCTGAAACTCTCTTCTCTTAGATTCACATGACTCACTCCTTCATTTTCTTCAGGTCTTTGCTTAAATATCATCTTTTCAGGTAACACCTTCCTGACCATCCTACTAAAACCTGCCACCAATCCCTCTCATTACCCAAACCAGATTACTCCTATTCCTTTTTCCAAGTTTGCTTTCCTCCATAGTTCTTTCCACTTTTGTTACTTCATATTTACTTATCTGTTTACCTATCTTCTTTAAAAGGTAATTGATAAATGGAATTATAAACAATACTCACTCTGAAAGGCAGAATAAGAATAATTAGGGAACAAAGAACAGATGGGACAAATACAAAACAAATAGTAAAATTATAGACTTTATGCCCAACCCTATCAATGATTGCATTAAATGTAAATGGCTTAAATACCCCCAATAAAAGGCAATCTGACAATAGGACAAAAAGATAAGGTGCAACTGACTATATGCTGCCTATAAGAAATGCATTTTTAATATAAAAATATGAACAGGTTAAAAACAAAAGACTGGGAAAAATATACACCATGCGAACACTAGTCAAAAAAATGTTGTAGTATCTATATTAACATTAGGCCAGAGTATCAAAAGGTATAAAGAAGTTCATTTCATAGTGATAAAGGGGTAGGTTAATCAAGAGACATAATTATCCTAAACATTTCTGTCCCCAAAGACAGAGCTTAAAAATACATGAAGCAATAATTGATAGAACTGTAGGAGGAAATAGACAAATCCACAATTATAGTCAGAGATGTCAATACCCCTCTCAATAATTGATAGAGCAAGTACATGGAAAATCAGTAAGTATATAGTAGATTTGAATAACCAATGAGTATCAACCAACATAAACTCACTGACATTCATAGAACACTTCACCCAATACCAGCAAAATACACATACACATTCTTCTCAAGTATATACAGAGCATTTACCAAGAAAGACAAAATTGAGACATAAAACAAGTCTTAGTAAATGTTTAAGTATGTTCTCTTAAAATTAAAATTAAATTAGAAATCAATAACAGACAGATCTCTGAAAAAAAAAAATCCCCAAATATTTTGAAACAAAGTAATACACTTCTAAATAACCCATGGGTAAATAAGAAATTAGGAAGTATTCTGAAGTGAATATACTCCACCATGTTAATATTCTAAAAAAGAAAACCATATAAACACCTCAATAATGAGAAAATATAGAAAAAGCATTTGACAAAAACCAACATCCATTCCTGATTTATAAACTCAGCAAACCAGGAATAGAAGGAACTTCCTCGAGCTGATGAAGGGCATCTATAAAAAACCTATGGTTAGCAGGAAAGACTGAAAGCTTTCTGAGATAAAGAACAAGACAACAATGTTAGTTCTCACCACTCCTATCAACATTATCCTGGAGGTTCTAACCATTGTAATCAGGCAAGAAAAAGAAATAAAAGAAAGAAAGAATTAAAACCATCTTAATTCAGACAACATGATCATTTATGTAGAAAACCCAATGATTTTCCTAGAATAAATGAATTTTAGAAAGGTTGCAGGATACAAGAGCAATAAATGAAAACTAAATTTATACAAACTAGTAAAGAATGATTAGAATTCGAAATTTTAAAAATATAAAAATTTATAACAGCATCAAAATATGAAAGACTAAAAAAATATGAAAGACTTAGGGATAAATATGACAAAAAAGTGAAAGATCTGCACACTGAAAATTGACAGAAATTTAAAGTCACATAAATATATGGAGAGAGATACTTTGTTCATGGATAGGAACATTTAGTACTGGTAAGATGCTAAGGTAGGCAGAATAATGG